AAATGACAATCTCTCCATTCTAATATCCCATATATGTTAAATGAAAAACATTACAACATTTTTTGTAGCCACGTGTCATTACCACAATCATTTTTAAAATTGCTAGAAAATATGTTGCTCCATCTAAAAATATAATAAGCTTTTTATTAAACTAATTATAAATTAATTATTAATGTTATTCATTGTTTCAAATAAAAATAACGGAATTTCCAAATATAGCTAAAGTATATATGACAATTAATGATTTTCCAACAATAAAAATTTGATAAAAACTAGTATACTCTCTATTATTTAAAAAAAATAAACTTATTAAAAAATTTAAACAACCAAATTAACTATATAATAAAATTTTAGATTTTTTCATATATTATATATTAAATTTTTAAAAACGACTAAAAATGACTAAAGTTGTTAAAATCTCACACTGAATATCAAATGAGAAACATTACAACATTTTTTGTAGCCACGTGTCATTACCACAATCATTTTTAAAATTGTTAGAAAATATTTTGCTCCATCTAAATATATAATAAGCTTTTTATTAAACTAATCATAAATTAATTATTAATGTTATTCATTGTTTCCTTAAATAAAAATAACAAAATTTCCAAATATGGCTAAAGTATATATGACAATTAATGATTTTCCAACAATAAAAATTTGATAAAAATTAGTATATTCTCTATTATTTAAAAAAAATAAACTTATTAAAACATTTAAACAACCAAATTAATTATATAGTAAAATTTTAGATTTTTTTCATGTATTATATATTAAATTTTTAAAAACGACTAAAAATGACTAAAGTTGTTAAAATCTCACACTGAATTTTTCTGATCCATGGTTTAAAATTATGTTATAATGAAATATAAATGATTAAAATTTTTGTTATAAAAATATATAAATGATCAAAAAACAATATGAATATAAACTATAATTTAACAGATATTGATATTAAAAATGTACTATATTTCTATGTTAATATCATTTAAACTTGATTGTATACCATATAAAATAGAAAAGTCTTGAATTAATAAAATTTATTTATGTATTTACACCAATTTAATTATATACGTAATAGTTACTGAATTTTTAAATACCAATATATATGTATTACTTCATAATATGAAAAATAACATATAATACGTAAAAAATATTTATATATCATATTCATTCCGCGCAAGGTGCGGATCTTAACCTAGTAAACATATATAGCACAATTAATCAATGAGATAGTCTCCTACACAACCAAAAAAAATGTAACAAATTATTCGACGGTATTAATCTCCAACCACCATCATTACCTTCGAATGTCATATAATCATTAACCATTATTACTATACAGAAATTAATATATAAAGTAATATATAATCAGAATATTAATACATAAAAATAAATTATGTAGCTGTTAATATATAATAAATCAATTGAACTTAATAAGGTCAATGTTACAAAATAGTTGATAAAAATTAATCAGTATCATTTTGGAAATATTAGTATCATGTATAACTTACAAAAAAAAAAAAAAAATAGTGAAAGTTTTTATCAAAGAAGTGAAAATTAATGTTACATAGAATTGAGAATATATTAATTTTTTTTAAATTACCTTAAATTGCTTTAAATGTTAAAATAAGTATATGTTTTATAAGTATTGTGAATACAAAATGTAAGGTTATCGTCTTTTGTTAAATGCATTTTTTTAAGAAAATACTAAAATAATAAAAACTCAACCCTAATTTTAATATTGATATGAAAATAAAAGTATATGTACTTACATATTCCAACAAATGACATAATGTACAATAACCCGTTAACAAACAATAAATAACAGAAATAGAACACAACTTTATTAATAATCACAATAGTCATCTTACATAATTTAGTTAACCCTAACTTGACTATGAACTTTACAATAAACGAGATCAAAGTAAAAACATAAAAAAAAATAAAAAAATTACAAAATTACAAAATAATTGCTCATACAAAAATAGTCAAATTACTTAAATTAAAAACAAATATTAAATAAAAATATAATGGAAAAAATTTCTGCATAGCGGGGATTTACCCTAGTTTATTATATTTTCTTTTTTTTTTATTCATCGGTTATCAAGATTTCAAGTTTCATCCTTGTTTTGGAAAAAAATAATCAAATTTTTCATAATTTGTGACAATAAATTTCATTAATATTCATCAGAAAAACATAGGCAACATGAAATTACCTACATCTCATCTTAAATGATAAAAAAAATTCTGGTGGCAAAACGAAAAATTATTCGAATAACAAAATGTTTCCTCTTCATTTAAGTATGATTATTTAAATAGTTCAACTATTTTTAAATAATTTTAGTAATATTTTAAATCTGAAATTTTTAATGATTTGGGATGTATACAAATAAATTTCTCTAGGATATTTTAGACATATAACTAAAATGGGTGAAATCGATAATCAACGGTGTTTCACAGAATAAATTCTAAAGTGAGTTCTTTTGATTTTGTTAATTAGTAATAGTATAAAATTAAGAATATTTGTACTTCATACCTATAACATTTACCATATTTGCACTTCATATCTAATTTCCCTCCAATTTTTTTCTCTCCATCATCACTATTTCCCCATAATATTTAGATATTTTCTTAATTATTACATTCTTCTTGTATTTTCAGCCAATTCACCCTAAAATTAAGGTAAACTAGATTTCGGCCCGCACAACCGTGCGGGTATTTTAATACGAAATATTTAAAATTATATAATAAAATTTATCAATAAATAAATCTAAATTGATTATGTATACTATCCAATTTTATAATAATGTTTGTGTGACTTATAATATTATCAATATAAAATTTATAAATTTTTATTTTTCTAACAATTTTTATAACATTATTATGTAACATTACTAATTTATATATTTTCTTGTATTTCTAAATTTGAAATATATTTAAAAAGTAAATTAAGTTGGACCTACATAATACATAAATAAAATTTTGGGATATTGTTAAACGTATTTTACATAATTTTAATTTTTTTGTTTATATAATAAATGAATTAAAATTTTAATTATATTTTATAATAATTAAAAATTTAATCAAATAATTGTTGAAACTATATCTTGAAAAGATTCTAAAAGATTTTTAAAAGATTTTGTTAGAATTTTCTTAAAACTATTTATTTGTATGTCAAATAAAATTAAAGATGTGAAAATATATTATATTGATGTTATGTAAAATTTATATATTTCTAAGGATGGTTCAAATTAAAATATCACACATGAAGTGAGTCATGACTTCTCTTTTAATATAATAGATGTAAAGATTGTTTCAAAAAAAAAGGTAAATGTAAAGATAACTAGTATTGAAATTTATGACTGAAACATAACAACACAACATATACATGAATTACTGTAGAACACATTTTTATTTGTTAGCCAAATTTTATGATATAAATTTATAATTGATATCAAATAAATATATCTAGTAAAATCAAGTTATAAAGAAAAAAAAAAAACATTTCAACGTTCTTCTTCTACTCTACTAAAATCGTTTGAATGAGAATGTGCGGGTACAAAAAAAAAAAAGATTAGTCAAAAAAAAAAGATAGACTCTGTTTTTATAATTCAATCAGAACCTCTGATTCTAACTAAAAAGCCACGGTTTTAATCAAGGTCTACAGCATCCTCCCGACCATGAGAATTGCAACAACAACCACGAAACCATGTCCGATTGCTTTACTAAATATTACTTCAGAACTGAACCAATGCTATATCTCTGACACATTGTGAAACCGTGTTTCTTTGTGAAATCAGTAGAATTTGTGTTTCGTGCAGATTTGAATCTTAAAACTTCAGTTAGGGTTCCAGAGAACGGAAAAAAAAAACCCTAAGAAACGAAACTCAGAAGAACAAAATGCAGGCAACCCTAAAATCGAAACACAGAAGAACAGGGGATCTGCAAAATTAAGAATTTTTGTGCCAAAAAAAACGCAGGAAACCCTAAAATCAAAACACAGAAGAACAGGGGATCTGAAAAATTTTGAATTTTTGTGTGAAAAAAAATTTGGACCATTTCTCGATTTGTGCGTGTCATCCTTGCGCAGGGGCCATGCTAATCTTCTCTGTATCGTTCCAATTTTATCGGATGTCCCCGAAGGGACAATTATCTTCGTGACTCTATCTCCATATAAACACAGCTTCTGTTCTTCACCTGAACGATGTGGGAATGTTGATGTCGTTAAAACTTTAATGGGTCTAATGCTATTTGTTTGTATGTTGTGTTATAAATGGGCCTGTTTACATTTTGTTGTTCGAATATTTTTTTCGTTTTGCCACCAGAAATGTTTTTATCATTTAAGATGAGATGTAGGTTTATGTATGTATTTCTGATGAATATTAATGAAATTTAATACCACAACTTACGAAAAGTTTGATTTAAAACAAGGATAAAAATTAAAATCTTGGTAATCGATGAATAAAAAAAAATATATATACAATAAATAGTAGAGTATATGCATTACGAGATTTTCCAAAAATATATATTATGTTTGTCTTTCTATTTTTTCTAAATGCAAGAAAAATCATATTTATGATGAATTTTTTTTATCATTTAAAAATAATTTAATGTTTAATTTCCTTTGTTTTGAATATAAATAATAATTTATTATGTTGATCTTTGATATAATACTTACATATTAATAAATATCTATAAGATAATTATGTCCTTACATACTTTATTGTTATACAGAAATGGTATTGGTTTTACACACTAGTTGGTGTGACACAGCTTGAGAAAATAACGCCTGAAATAGTATTACTGTATTTTAGTAACTAAGTTTGTATTAAATGTGAAACCCTGAGTATGTTAACTAATTTCATATATATATTCAAAGACGATAAATTTAACTAAATGTTCAAGTCAGTCTCTGCCTATGCTACGGCTACGCCAAGTTTGGCAAACATGTTTTCGACGGCTGAATGAAGAAAACACCTGAAGTAGTATTACGTACGTTGACAGACACAATTAAGAACAGTAACACCATACATGGTGAAGACAAGTTCTTCTCCGAAACGTCAACGTATTATCTGTCAACTTTTGTTCTTAAACAACGTTACGGCAGGAAGAGTAGAGAGATGGAAAAGAGAGAACTAGCACTGCAATATTAGTCTCAGCTAAAGCTGGAAACTATTTATAAGTAGAACAGAAGAAGTAATCGAGTTTTTTAAGGATTAAGAGAGCTTTTCAGTTATCACAAACAACTCTGAACCATCTTTAAGCCCCAATGTGTTTTTTCTTCTTCTTAAGAGCCTTCACTAGAGTGGCCGAGACAAGAGAAATAGAGAAAGATATGTGCGCAGAGAAATTACAATATGGAGCAAGCCTTTTGTGCTTTTCCCTTCTTTTTCTTTTGCTTTGGAGGTTGAAGTACCACTCTGATTGCTGCATCAAACACCCCCTTAACGTTCTGCATTCATCAAAAAAGACAGTCTCAAGGTTAAGGAAGCTAACAAGTAAAAGAGCAAACTCATATTCATTGTAGCATTGATCACAATGGAAGTTTCTTTTTGTTTCTTACCTCCTGTGATTTTGAACTGCACTCGATGTACGCAGGAGCTTCAATGAGCTTCTTCAGTTCCTCTCCCTTTGATGCCCAAAGTGGTGAATGATTACGATGGGTTTCGTTTACGTACCAAGTGTAGTAAATTAAACTGATTTAAAAAAAAAAAGAATGTTTACCTGAGCGTTGGTGATAGGGACAGCACCAGGGTGGTCGACGAAGAACTGTTTGTCATCCCGAAGATCTGCCACATTTGACGAGAACACAAACCATAAGCAGAAATCCGAAAGTGAGCACAGACACTATTAGGAAGAAACAGAATCTGTTACACCATCAACTTTTGACAAGAGATCTTGTAATAAGTCTTTCGTAAAGGTTCATAATTGCTATATCTAGACTAGACACTGAGTGGCTGCTTACATGCATATGGTTATCTCTTACAATGAGGGTGTGGCAGGTTAACTATCAGGAGGAAATGTGAGATACGATAAAACATTAGCCTCATAACATAACCCAAAAAAATCCATTAAAACGAAAGACACATGACCAGAGACGAGCTTCTAAACCTAAGAGTATCGGAGCATTTGTATTATTCATAAAAAGAGCTTATAACTACCCAAAGGAATATATATTGGATATGAAGAAATCAAAACAGAGCCAATGAATGCAAGGTAACGTCCACTAGTGTGAGTGTGACAAATACACATAGAAGCAAAAGAAAAAAAGCTGGAGAGCTTATTGTGAGAAAGGAGTAAGCAGACGACATTATAGCCAAAAAGAAAGGAACAAACCTAATTTGGTACCAACAAGAACAATGGGGACACCAGGGGCATAGTGCTTCAGCTCTGGGATCCACTACCGAACAGAAGAATAAAACAGCTAAATCAAAACCAAGAAATTTTATATTATCACAAAAAGAACTTGTAAGCAGAAGAAGCAGGAGCTCACGCACCTTCTTGGAGACATTCTCATAACTAGCCTTACTGATGAGTGAGAAGGCTAAGATGAAGACATCAGCACCACGGTAACTCAAGGGTCTCAATCTGTTATAATCCTCCTGCCCTGTTTCAAAAAAAAAAAAAAAAAAAACAAGTTCATAAAAAAAAAGGCATAGCTTGCTGATAAGAAAGACCAAGCTTGAGAGAGAGAGAGAGAGAGAGAGTACCAGCGGTATCCCACAAGCCAAGGTTGACAGTAGCTCCGTTCACAACAACATTAGCGCTAAAGTTATCGAAAACAGTCGGAACATAATCCTGACTCAAAGAAGAAGCATACAAAAAGCTCCACAAAGTCAATTCAATTCAAAGAAAGAAAAGGAGATAAATGATTGATACCGTAGGGAAAGTGTTGCTGGTGTAAGATATGAGCAAACATGTTTTACCCACTGCTCCGTCCCCAACGGTCACGCACTTTATGAATCTCGATGCGCTCATTTTTCTTCCTCAATAATAATAATCAAAACCTCAGCAGATCTCTGAGGAACTGCTACAACAATAAGAAAAAGCTCCCTCACCTCAATAGAAACAAAATTGCATCGGTCTTGCCCTACCTTTCAATCCGCCATCTCCTCCGATGCAAGAAAAACCCTAAGATATATGTAAAATTCGAAACCCTAACCGAAACCGCAAATGTGAGAGAATGATATGATCAAAGAAGATGAAGAGAGAGAGGATGAATCGTATCAAAAGAGAGAGAGAGAAAGAAGGGAAGTAGCAAAAAGTGATGGCCGCTAATTTATGCAATTGAAGCGTTCGAACTATCTCTTCCATCCATCCATCAATTTCCCCGATTCTTTTGCTTCCTTTTTTTTTTTACTTTTCACCTTCGTGTTAATTTTTTTTTCAATTACAATTTTGCCTTTGTTTTTCTAAAATATTTTAATTACTAGGATAACACATGCCTAAGGTAAAAATGACTATATGTAATTAAAATATAAAATTTTGATAGTGACAAATTTATATATGATTATTTTTGAAATTTTGGAGTTTTTATATAATTATCTATATGTAGGATTAGAAACAATTGTAATTAGACCATCCTTTGAAGCCCTTAGGAAAAATGTTTTTTGAATTTTTAATTATTATTATTTTTTCAGATTAAAAAAAAATATCAACGAATCACGGGTTGCCACGTGTAAGGATTCAATAAAAAGAATCCTTACGTAAGGATTCTTAACCTTTAATGGGGTCTACTGATTATTTAATTATTTTTTTCCTAAGGATTTCCCACTAAGGACCGCCATTGCGGATGCTTTTAAAACGGTAGATCAAAACTTATATTTTAGTGTTTGATTGATAGAAAATAAATAGAGTGTCACATGATTTAATTGGTAAAGCATTATCAAGTTTCCTAATGTTTTTTTAAGAAGCAGTTGGTATTATATTTGCATTTAGAATATATAAAGTTTCAAAAATAATTTAATATAATTTATTTATTTATGTAATAATATCAAAAAATTATATTTTAAAAAATTATTTCTAAATAAAAGTTAAGTTAAAATTGAAATTATATTACGTTTAAAATAAAATTATTTATTCATACGATATGCGATCTATATATATATTAACATAAACACTTATTAAAATAAAATTATTTATTCATATGATTTTAACTTATTATAGAAAGAAAAATTTAGACCTTGATCACAAAAGTTATGTGAGATTTTTAACAGTTTTAGTAATTTATACTCGTTTTGAAAATTTCAAAATATAACATATAATAAAAAAATGTAAATTTCTATTATATGATTAGTGTAGCTGTGTAATTTAATAATAAAAAATAAACAAAAAATGATATAAAGTATACATATTGTTAACAAATCTTTATTATTAAAATCATTAATAGTCATATATATCTTAATCACATTTGGTAATTCTTTAGGTTTTATTTAAGGAAATAATATATATAAGAGATTTAGTTTGATATATTATTTAGTTTGATATGTCTTATATGAGACTAATATACCTTGTTTTAAAACTATGCTTTATATAAAGTGCTATAGAATTCTTCTAAATAGAATTTAGAACGCATAGAGAACTGCCACATAAAATGGAATTTTTTAAATTAGTACAAAATTAAAGTTATAACTTTTTAAATGAGCATCAATTAATATATAAGGATTATTCACTTTTACAATATTTTTAGTTTTGTTAACCTTTTCTCCACTAGTTAGGGCATGCCCAACAATTTCATTTTTTTTTCTTATTGCCTTAAATTTACTTAAATTTTTTAGGTTCAAACAGATAAATAAAAAGAATTTAATGGAAATCAAAATCAGGTCGACTCTTGTTCTGTAGCGAAAATATTTTATTAGATTTCCTTTTTACAATAACAAGATTTTTATAGTGAAGGCTCTATTATAACGTGAGACGTTAGGGTTTCGACTCCCGATCTACCTCGATTCTTCTTGTAGCTTAGTCTTTGCTATCTCTTCCTATTATATGTGTAAGTTTCGATCGTTATTTGATTACTTCTTCGATTAATTCTTAGATCCTTTGCACAATACATTGATTCCAAATCAGGCAGTTCGTCGAATCCGAGATGAATGTGATTAATTTTTTAGTCTAGTTCTGATGATGAATCTTGTTTCCATTGTTTACTTTAGTCTGTTGGTGATGGATCTCGTTTTCATGGACTATGAAACTAAGTAGTCATGTGACTCATATGATCTCTCTGATTAAAGAAGCTTGCATTTATAAACTGATTAAGGATTATTGTTTCTCTTAGATCGTGGTATTGCAAAGAGCATCTTTGTTTCTCCACTAGTTAGGGCATGCCCAACATCAGGAGGTCTTTAACAAGCTGACTCAAGAGACTGAACGTCTAATGGAGCGAGCAGAGTCAGCAATTGCTTCCAAGGATAATCTAATATCTTTGTTGGAGAAAAAAGTGAGTGAGGTATCAGAGACGTGACAAATCTGAAAATAAGATTCATCCTAATAAAAAAGGAAAATGCTTTTTTTAAGGTCGATCACGCCTCTACTTTTGAAGAATTAGAGCAACATCAAAATCTCCTCAACAAGCTGACTCAAGAGACTAAACGTCCAAAGGAGCGAGTAAAATCAGCAATTCCTTTCAAGGATACCCATATATCTTCTTTGGAGAAGAAAATGAGTGAAGGGGATAGAGTCATGACTTATCTGAAAGCAAAATTTACCCTGATAGAAAAGGAAAATGTTTTTTTTTTCGGCCAATCTTGTCCCTATTTTGGAAAAATCAGAGCAACATCAAAAGCTCCTCAACAAACTGATTCAAGAGACTGAACACCTAAGGGAGTGAGCAAAGTCAGCAATTACTTCCAAGAATACTCTTGTATCCTCATGGGAGACGAAAGTGAACGAGGGTGACAGAGACGTGACTGATTTGAAAACAAGATTCACCCTAATAGGAAAAAAAATGTTTCTCTTAAGGTCAATCATGCATGTACTTTAGAAGAATTAGAGTAAGATAGTGAACTCCTCAACAAACCGACTCAAGAAACTGAACGCTTAGTGGAACAAGTAGAGTCAGCAATTGTTTCTGAAGATACTCTAATATCCTTGTTAGAGAAGAAAATCAATAAAGGTGAGAGATACCTAATTAATTTGAAAACAAGATTCATCCTAATAAAAAAATAAAATGTTTTTTTTAGGTTGGTCATGCCTCTATTTTGAAAGAATTAAAGGAATATTGTGCAAACTGACTCAAAAAACTAAACGCATAAAAAATCAAATACAAGTAAGTGTGTCCTCTGTTTTCATATAATATTTCATGTTCAAAATTATAACATATTTAAACTGATGCACCATAGCAATAGCATAATCGAGCTACTTGATGGAACAAATGGAAGCAGAATCTAAAAATCAATCGATTTGGACTTGTATAAATTATATTGCTGGAGAAAACTACAATTTGTTTTTCTTAAATATTTTTATTTTTCACCTTTACAATGTTTTTTAGTTTTACTTAGATTGTCGATCTTTTCTCCACCAGTGTCATTCCTAACGAGGCTATCATAAAGATTCGACCATAGTTCTAGAACCGAAAGTCCTTGTGACTATTTTTTATTTATTATATTTTCCTTTTATAGAACGAACCAAACTGAAAATAACTGTAAACAAATAAAACCAACAAAACCATAAGAAAACTGTAAACAAATAAAACCAACAAAACCATAAGATAAAGAAAACAGCGACCATAGGAAGAAAACTGTAGACTGTTAAGTGTAGAGTTTATCCAAGAAATAATTACCGTAGAAACTCAAAAAATCTCTGACATGCAAAATTGACTTTGATTTATTTACTATATATATATATATATATTTGCTGTGCATCTACAAATAATCACACATATACTTCCGAGTTCAAATGCTAATCTAAAATGCATGTGGGAAACAATCTGTTTGTCATGTCAACAACTCACTGAACCAAAAGCTCTGAGGAAGCTCTGAGGAAATCAGAACGGGACAGTGAATGGCAATGCGTGTAGTTCGGCTTCTGGAAGAAACCGAGCACTTGGCCACACCATCGAACTACTTCCACTGCTGCTTGTCTGATTGCTAACTGGATGATGTCTTTTGGCGCCAACTTTCATCAACAACCACCATTCTTGATCTTCAGAGTCGGTGAGCTTGCTCTCAACCTGATCAGGAGACCAGTTCTCGATGAGATTCAAGAATCGCATGGCCATGGAAGAAGGGCGTTTTCTGCAGAGCTTTGAAGGTCCATTGGCTTCATGATGTCTAGATGACTGTTTCTCTTTGCCTAGTTGCATACCACTTTGTCTGTTTGTTTCCTTCTCTTTACTGAGTTTTGATGAGATATCTATCGCTGCATCAAAAACTGGATCTCTCCTCCTCTCTTGGCAGACCATTAAAGCCTGAGAAGCATCGTCCCGAGAAGAGCACTGTTTCTGATCCCTGTTGCTCATCATCACCTCATGATATTTCTGCCTTTTGCTAGTTTCTTCAAAACCCATAGCAACAATTTGAAGAAAGAGTGTCATCATCGTAAAGCAGACAGACCCAAGAACAAGTAAACAAACAAACTCACCAGAGTCGTTATGCCTACCAGTGAGGGGCTGACTCTGAATATGATTCTGTCCCTCATTCTCATTGCCATGAAGATTACTATCACAAGATGTCTGAGAAGACGTTTGATGGTCAAGTTCCATCGTAAGGCAACTCTTCTCCATGCACTCAGGCTCACTGACATTGTCATCGACCTTCTTAGAAGCACTGGTATTGTCATCTTTACGCTGTCTCTTATGATGAAGGTGCTTTCTGCTTCGGCCAGCCTCATTATCCCTCTCCTTCCTCTTTTTATCATTGTTGTGTTTTCTATCTTTCTTTTCTCTCTTAGCCTCCTCCTTTGTCCCCTGGAATTTGGAACAACAACAACAGTTAGTGTCCATAATTTGCCTAACCCAGTATAGGACAAAGAAGAAGAGAAAGAAACACAAACAAGGCAAAACTATCACAGAGATTACTGGAATAGAATCCCTACTGGTTTGTTAAGTAACTGTTTACCTAGTCATCTTTATTGAATTAATCAATGTTTTCACGCTTTTGAGTTAGATTTGGATTTTCATCTAACAGTTTTAATTGTTGATTTGTTTCACAGGAAGCTGAGCATTCAAAAAATCACATAAAAGCAATGGACTTTTTATAACTGCTCAACAAACCTTTTTGATCGATTCGATCAGAGACTCATCCTTTTTGATTTGGTTCGGTACAAAGCCAGGTGGAGGGAACGGGTAACACCGAGACATTCTCTCACACAATCACAGACCACGAACTCGCGAAACCCTAGACTTGAGAGATTGGTTACACGAGAATCGCAAAAAGTGTTGGGGCTTTTTTATTATCCCGCCGTCAAATTGGGAAACACAATCGAATTCGGGTTGAAGGAATTCGAGGATCAGAGAAAGCAAAACGAAGGGGTCACGAGAGACAAATTCCCAGAGGCTTCGCAGCTTTCCGATCCAGAAATTTTCTTCTGTTATTCGCCCACAGCTCCGTTATTTATAGAGGATGGCGAATAAAAGGCGTGTTTGGTAACAAGAATATTACTAAGGCTAAAGCAAGGCCCTTAAAAACAAAGAGCCCATCCCGCAAGCCCATTTAATTATTCAGTGACGTTATTTTTGTTCACCCTTTAGACCAAGACATGACTGTCAATTGTGCTTTTAGATGTTCAGGTTCGATCCTAGATCCTATTCAAAATTTATATAGTTCGTATCATATTTGGTTGATAATATTCCAGACTCATGTATATTTTATAATTATTTATAAGATCTCTATAATATTATTTGAGAAGTCACTTTCTTAGGTGTCGCGCTCACGTTAACTCTCACGCTGGTTGATTACTATAACACCCCTAATGAATTAAAAATATATTTAAATATTATTATTTCGTTTTTAAAATCTACCAAATAACAATATAAAATAAAAAGGAAATATTTATAAAATTTACAAAACTATCTAAAACGAAAAATAAGTATATATATATATTATGGTTTCATAAAAAAAGAAAGTTTACAAAATAGTAATATTTACCTTAAATATATTTTTAAATAACATAAATTATACTTTTAACTCTCACGCTGGTTGATTACTATGATACCCTTAATAAATTTTAAAAATATATTTAAATATTATTATTTCCTTTTTAAAATTTTCCAAATAACAATATAAAATAAAAAGGAAACATTTATAAAGTTTACAAATCTATTTAAAAACGAAAATATAAGTATATATAAATATGGTTTCATAAAAAAAGGAAAGTTCACAAAATAGGAATATTTAATTTAAATATATTTTAAATAACATAAAATATAATTTTGAAGTAATAAAATACTTTATATCTATATATTCTTAGATGAAAAACAATATTTGTATATAATGTGATTCCATAAAAAATTCACACAACTAATCTTGATATTAGAAAAAGAAATATTTTTTTTTTTAAATAATTTTAAACAATCTCTATAATATTATTTGAGAAGTCACTTTCTTAGGTGTCGCGCTCACGTTAACTCTCACGCTGGTTGATTACTATGATATCCCTAATGAATTAAAAATATATTTAAATATTATTATTTCCTTTTTAAAATCTACCAAGTAACAATATAAAATAAAAAGGAAATATTTATAAATTTACAAAACTATCTAAAACAAAAAATAAGTATATATATATATATATAATATGGTTTCATAAAAAAGGAAAGTTTACAAAATAGTAATATTTACCTTAAATATATTTTTAAATAACATAAATTATACTTTTAACTCTCACGCTGGTTGATTACTATGATACCCTTAATAAATTTTAAAAATATATTTAAATATTATTATTTCCTTTTTACAATTTTCCAAATAACAATATAAAATAAAAAGGAAACATTTATAAAGTTTACAAATCTATTTAAAAACGAAAATATAAGTATATATAAATATGGTTTCATAAAAAAGGAAAGTTCACAAAATAGGAATATTTAATTTAAATATATTTTAAATAATATAAAATATAATTTTGAAGTAATAAAATACTTTATATCTATATATTCTTAGATGAAAAACAATATTTGTATATAATGTGATTCCATAAAAAATTCACACAACTAATCTTGATATTAGAAAAAGAAATATTTTTTTAAAAAATAATTTTAAACAATAAATATATATATTTTCAAAGTAATTATTATTTTTGTATATATCTATCTATTTTATTCGATGATTACATAAAATAATTAAGTAAGATAAACTAATGTATGTTTAATTGACAAAAAAATTTACAATTACTATTCTTGAAATATATTTTTTTTATTTTTAGTATATTTATTTGACTATAATATCTTACAATTACAGCAAAAAAATATAAATTCTATTTTACTCATATAATATAATTTTCAAAAACAATAAATTTTTTTACTGCAAATTTTAAGAGATATTAAAAACAAAACTAAAGATAAATTTTAATAATAAACATTTTTTGATCAAATAACTACAATTATTTTAAAACATAATAACACTATATAATTTAACAAAGTATATATATTATATTTTAATAGTTAGATTTATATGTTTGCTTGATAATTCTTTGGATTTTTTATTTTCTGTTTTTATGTTTGTGGAACTTAATATAACCATAATCAAAATACTTAAGCAAATCAGAATCTTTATTTTAAAATTATTTAAAATAAATTTATGGTTACCATCCAATCAATCTAAATATTGTAAATATTGATATGTGTTATAAACTTCCAAAAATTTATTAGTTACGCATGTATGTAATTTAGAATCAGACAATTTAGTTTCTATTTTTTTTCTTTCTAAGCATAAAAAATCTTAAGTTATACATACTCTTACTAGATATACTTATATTCTTAAAATAACAACCGGCATAAATGCAAATAAGACGATTAATCAAAAATTTAATATATTGAGGATAAAAAAGATTATAGTTGAATTTAGAAAAATAGATAGAATCTAATATATCCAAAAGATAACTAAATCAACCGTAAAAACAATAAAACTGATGAAATATAACATATCTAAAATTATATATATAATTAAATTAATATAACATTATTAACACAAATTATACCTACAATATACCAAGTTGATAACCAAACCGACTATTGATCCAAAAATAATTAAACTGGCAATAATATATTCAAAGTCATATGTATAATTATAATAATATAATATTTATTAATATAAATTATACTATAAATTGATTCAAAACTAAAATTAAATATAAATAAATTATTATAAAATTTTACATTTATGAATATTCATATCCGTGCATGAGCACAGGAAAATCACCTAGTATACTCTAGATCTGAATTCATTTTAAAACTGGTCAACAAAGTTGTGTTTCAAAAAAAAAAAAAAGTTTTAAAAGTTTTTATACCGGATCTCGGGTAAAAATTTTCAAGGAAACAAGTTTTTGCAAATTACAACATATACATCTATTGGAAGTTTCAGGGTAGAAAGACTTCGCTATAGTCGTGATGTAGAGAATTTATCTATCGTATATATCATATATGCAGAATCGTGCATCAATTCAAATGTTACAAAAAAGAGATATCGTAAAATCATTGTCACTATAACTATTTATTATGACCATTGATAAATAATCATCTATCTTATTAAAATAAAAGTATTATAATATTTTTATGTAGATTTTTAAGTTGAACTTCATATTATTAATCTATAGTTAATAACTTAATTATATTTTGTTATTATTTAGGAAATTAGTGATGATTCGGTATCTTATAATTATTTGGAACATATTTATAATTTACCTTCTTATTCTTTACAAAAATCCTCAGTATATTCTTATTCTTATTTAGCAGAAAATCTCGGTTATATTTATAGCTATTGTTTTGATATTAATTAAAAAGCACAATTTAATAGATATATACAATCTTTTATGGAATTATCTTTTTTTTTCAAGTCAATCTACTTTGTCTAAAATCTCGTTTAGATATTAAATCTCTTGATTTGATAGTAATTATAGATTATTAATTAGTTTTCTGAATTGTTGGAAAATATATTTGTTTTGACGCCCTACCTAAAATATGAGGCGTATATATAGTTCTTCTCATATTCATCATTCGACATTCACTATCACCTCCAATAAAAAAATAACAAAACCAAACACTTTTGTATTTAACGGTGTTAAACATTACAGAGATAATTGACAAATTCGCGTTAAGGTTCTTCATTGTTGAAAACAAAACACCAGTTATGGAGGCGACACATTAGAGTTGGTCCTCGTTGACGAAAATGTAAGTTACAGAAGTTTGATATTTTAAAAAAAATTATTTTCTAACCAATATCTTATTCAACTTTTCTTTATTTTGTAGGGTGTAAAGATTGCATCATTTTGTAAAAAAAAATCAAACTTTTATAACTTACATATTATGACTTAATCATCTTTGTTTTCTTTAGTTTTTTCCTTCTAGTTTTTTCCTTTGAACTAAATATTTGTTTTCTTTTTTTGACGAACTAAACATTTGTCTTTTCTATAAATCTTAGGTAAATTCATTATCTTTACATTTCATATTTATATTCTAGGTTAGATCTAATATGATCATTTTAATGTCACAAATTTATTTCATTGGAATAGCTATGAAAAAACATTCGCTACAAGAATCCAAACTATTTGATATCAACTTTCAAACACTGGATTGTATTGGGTTTGTTTTGACTTCTATTTTCAATTTAGTAGTAGTATAATGTAAACAACAAATAAACAAGAACCAATGTTTATTTGTTAAAAATTTATATTTTTATCTAATATATATTTTACATTTAAATATCATGTCATTCAAAAAGTTGTTGTAAAATCAACTGACGAGATATCTTCTCTCATAATTTCATGTATTTAATATTTAATTTTATAGTGAAAACTGTCAACCAAAATTCTTGTACAATCCAGTCAAGAAGTATTCTTCTTTACCTTTACCAACAAGATATTCCAAAAGTAATCTTACCTTATAAGTATAGTATTTTTGAAAATTTATTTCAAACTTTCTCGTGAAAGCTATGCCGTTTAGAAACGTTTGTCAGTTTACTATATATAAGACATTACCAGAAGAGAAACGAAGTCACTGAATTTTATAATGTTATTTTTTCTGCTTTGGATTTAGTAAATTTATTTTACTTTAGAATGTTAAGACTTTATATATATACACTTTTTTTTTTTTTCTGATTCTGCTTTTGGTTTATGTGCAGATGATCTATCATAATGATTTCTCTTTTGAAGCCACATATGATTTCATCATTCTTCATTTTGTTTTATTTTTTTTATCTTTAACAGTTATCTTTTTTTTTTGTTATTAATCACAGGCTAATTCATTATCTTCACATTTCGTATCTATTTTCTAGGATAGATTTGGGAAAATTGTCTTAATGTAAATCTATCTTAGCAAATTTATTACAAAAATATATCAGAAACTTTCTAATTATATAGTGATGTTCCTAAGAATATTTTAAATTTATTTTGTTAATCAATAAAATAATTGTTAAATATTAAACCCACAGTTTAAAAAGTATAGAAATCTATATTGAATAAATATCTTTGTTGTTTTATAAACTATAAAGCAAAACAAACTTCCACAAATCATAAACGTAATAGGTTATCCCATACAAAAACACATAATCTGTCAACTATCCTTTTTTTATAGAATTAAAATAATAATAATATCTACATTTTGAAATATTATGATGTCAAGTAAAGTTTAAATGATTTGGAGTATATTTTGTAAAATATATTTGTGATAAAAATATTAAATTTTTACTCACAAATTTAAATAGGACGGGTTTCGGTATACTAATTTTTTTACTTATGTGTCAAATTTTTGAATAAAAAAATGATTCAATTCGCAGTAGAGCTAATCGACCCGTAAACTCATCCATAATTTTTATAATGGTTCGTATAAAATATTATAAATTATGTGATGACACATATATGATATATACTAATATGAAAAATAAATAATAATATATTTTTGAAAATTACATCCGTGCGGGTACGCGGACCAAAATCTAGTATGTGATAAATAAATCTATACGATAATTTAAAATGATTGTTCTTTTTAGAAAAAAATAATTAATAATATTTCAGATTTATGGATGTTTAGATATTATATCAAAAAAATATATATATTGAACATTTGAGATATTATCTAAGTTTAATATCAATTTTGTATACTATTTCAGATTTTTTTATCATTTTTTTCATTTAAGTGTGTTTACAGATACAAATTTGAATTGTTCTGTTCAATTTTTTTCCATTCAGATTCTAAGTTTTTTTTGCTAGGTTTACACACCGCTTAAGTTTTCACGGTCTCTGGGAAGTCAAACAATACGTGGTAGATTGGTAATTATCCATAGTGACACATAGCCTAGATTCGTAATCCACAAACTCATGCAATGGTACTTCAGTTCCTACGTGGCAAGTAAAGACATGAGACAAGATAATCCATAAAACCGAAACACTCAGTGACCTTCTTCACTTCTTCTTCTTCTTCTTCTTCTTCTTATCTTCAAGCGGTTAAGGACAGAAAGATTCCAAAAAAAAATGGCTCATTCATGGGATCAACTCGGGGAAATAGCTTCAGTGGCTCAGCTCACAGGAGTAGACGCCGTGAAACTCATCGGAATGATAGTCACCGCCGCTAATACAGCTCGCATGCACAAGAAAAACTGCCGTCAGTTCGCTCAGCATCTTAAACTCATTGGTAACTTGCTCGAGCAGCTTAAGATCTCCGAGATGAAGAAGACACGTCCCGAGATTCAGGAACCGCTCGAAGGGCTTGAGGATGCTCTTAGAAGATCTTACCTTCTTGTTAACAGCTGCCAAGACAAGAGTTATCTCTACCTTTTAGCCATGGGATGGAACATTGTTTACCAGTTTCGTAAGGCTCAGGACGAGATCGATCGTTATCTCAAGATCATTCCGCTTATTACTTTGGTCGACAACGTTCGGGTTCGGGTAAGTCTGTTTTGTAATGTTCTGGTTCTTTTTGTTGTTGTTGACATTGTCTGAATTTGGATAGTTGTTGTGTTGATAGGAGAGGCTTGAAGTTATTGACAGTGATCAGTGTGAGTACACACTAGATGAAGAAGATAGAAAGGTGCAAGATGTTATCTTGAAACAAGAATCTACTAGAGAAGCTGCTGCTTCGGTTCTCAAGAAGACGCTCTCTCGTTCTTACCCTGAGATGGGTTTCTGCGAAGCTCTTAGAACCGAGAATGGGAAGTTACAAGTTGAGTTGCAACGTTCACGTGCGCGTTACGATACGGATCAGTGCCAAGTCATACAACATTTGATTGCTGTTACAGAAACTGCTGAAGATGTTGAAGATGAACCTGTGAAAGATGACTCGTATGATGATTTGGTTTATCCAAAGAAAAGTAGGACTAGAAGGTTAGAATCATCACAACACCAGGAAGAATGGCACACTGACTTAATGGATTGTTGCTCACAACCTTCTCTATGTAAGCCATCTTCCTCTGTTTTTAATATGATAATCGAACATTTGTCTCATTTTTCAAGCTTCCTACTTGAAGATGTGAATAATATAAAGGTATGGTATGAAACCACAGGCTTGAAGACATTCTTTTTCCCTTGTGGTACATTGGCAAAGATTTCAACTGTGGCAACTAACAGACAAATCAGTAAGGAAGCTTTATATAAATGCAGAATAGTTTTTGACATGAGGTATCTGATCAGAAATTCGATTTTATGGGCTTTTTCCAGCTTCATCTGAAGTTTGTAGTGAGCTAATGGTGAATTCTTTGATACTCTCATGCTGCTGCTATACTTGTTGCATAAGGAAGAAGCTTCGAAAGACGCTGAATATAAAGGTAACATCCATCTAAACCCTAATTTAAGATTTGTGATGCTCATGATGTTTTCAATCTCAAAACATGCAGGGAGGGTCAATCGACGACTTTTTGTCACATCTAATGTGTTGTTGTTGTGCACTTGTCCAAGAACTGAGAGAAGTCGAGATTCGTGGAGCTTCTTACGGTAAAACATATACATTTACAGATAGATTTTAACATACCGAGTTTTTGAATGCTTGGATCTAATATTTGAAGCAGATACAGAGAAGAAGAAACATATGACTCCACCATCTCCTCAGTTCATGGAAGAATGAAACTTTTCTAACACGGAACACAACATTTATCTTGGATAGATTGTCCTTGAATATTTAATGTAAATTAGAGTCTTTTCAGAACGCTCCTTGTACTTTTCTGTTACATCGAATATGTAATTATGCAGGTGACAAAAAAATTGTAAACAATGGACATCTGATTAAAGTAGCATGAACCAACCTATAGTAACTTACTATACTTGCTCAATGTGTTTATTTGTCTCTCTATTTATTTGGTTGATAGTAAAGTATACACAAGAAGAGATCAAAAACTGATAAGTAACATCTTCTCGGTGTTGTCAAAAAAAGAAAAAAAAAAAAAGTAACATCTTCTCGGTCATCATCAGCAAGACGTTTTCTCTTTAGTGAATGCGTATTACAGTGAGTTAATGGGTTAAACACTGAAAAGTTAAAACAGAACCTCATATTTTACTTCCATTTGCACTAGAAATTATGTAGAAAACAGTAGATAAGTCAAAAGGGTTTTTCTTACTTTCTAGATACTTTTCTTAACTGACCTAAATTACTACATCCACAAGTTTAACTTAGGTAAAAATGTACAGATCTTTTGCAGCTTCTCTTCACCATGACTTTTGATTTTCCTCAAAATGGAGACGTCCAAGACCGTTGAAGTGTTTTCCTTGTTTGATGTTGAGTTGCTTCAACTATCTTTAATTGCATCTTTCAAAAATCAGACAGAAAAAAAGTAATTAGGCATAAGTCGACCTTAAGTAGCAGAAATCTTACACTGACAATGTCCTTAAGACAGAAACAAAAGTAAGTTCACTTTCTTAAGATGGGATTGGACTTTTAAGGGTAATTTGTACCTTCTGTTCTTGTTTCTTGAGTCTTGCATTTTCCTTCTTCAACTGAACAATTTCAAGCTCCAGCTCGTTAGTATATGCCTGAAATTTAATGAAAATAAAAACACATACCACTTTTAATACACGGCAGAACTGTATAGTCAACACTAGATTTATCATTTTTCTTCTTTTTTTTCTTCTTTTGATTCACATGAATTTGAAAAGGGAAAGAAGGGTAAGGAGAGACACGTTCCTGTTTCCTAGCCCTGGAACGAGCAGCAGATTCCCTGTTCTTGGTCATACGCTTATGCCTTCTGTCTCCTCTGCTTTCATCAGAATCTTGGCTTCTTTTCTTCCCTAAACAACCAAACCTAGCAGATTCATCAAAGTGTGTATCAATGGAGTACTGAGGGTTCAAGCTGGGAACAGTTGCAGGAGGAAGAAGAAGAGAGACATGGTGAGTGGATGAAGACGAAGGTGGTGGTTCCTTATTCAAAGGCTTGCTGAGGAAATCTTGGATGATGGAGTTAGTAGGGTTTTGGTTCCTCAACACTGGCTCATGATCAATGTTTAGGTGGCGATGTTTGTGAAACGAAGCAAGGTTGATTTCTTTCCATACTTCTTCCATGGTGACTTGAGTCATGTTCTTGGCTTGTAAAAGGGAGGGAACTGAAAAAGCACTATGGTTGATCTTATGTTTTTTTTTTTTTTGGTTTTGAGAGAGCAGCGAAGAGAGAGAGAGAGAGAGAGACCAATAGCTTCTTCTCTTCCAAATCTCTTTCAATAGATTTGGTCCAGCAGAAGAGAGACCAAGTTGTAACTGTTGTGGAAATAAAAAAATCTTGTAATGACTTAAATTAACTTAATACAAAACTAGATTTTGATGCCGGTGTTATTTTTTATTATATACTAATTATATATAATATTGGATATTGATTTGTATCTTCAGATTTTTATATTATTATTTGAGAAGTGATTTTTTTTTTGTGTAGAGAAAAGTGGTGTTGTTATATGTCTTTGTTTTCTATGACTTTAAGTTATTTTACTAATGTGTTACATTTTAAATAATTTTAGGGGAATTAGGCCATATAGCAATAGAAAAAACCATAATTGGGTCAGTAGCAAAAAACCCTGACAGATACACTCACGTCGTTAGTTATATATATTAATACTGTATTATCCTTTAACTCAACAGCTTTCACCGGAAGAAAAAAAAAGTCATAATTTATTCTCTTGATTTTGCACTGTAAGTCGTGTCTTACCTAACTCCATCAATTATTTCACATCTCCCACTAACTTCGACGCAAGCAAAACGTCTCTGAGAACTCCACAACTTAATCTCTCGAAACCTTTTTATTCTCTGTGAAATTCACCGTCTTCGACATCGACAACCCGACCACTAGATCCATACGGTTTTGGTTCATTCCAAGCACAATGGAATAGAAAATCCAGATTTGAGATGTTTTCTATGTTATTTAGGGTTTCATCCAGACTTGCGCATTCCATTCCATTTGATGTGGAGTTTACATCAAAAGCTGGGGTTTCTATTTGCGTTTTCTGGTTTAGATTTTCGTTAAGGGTTAACTTATTTGTGATTAGGGTATAGTGTTAAGTGGGTCTGTTGGGTTTAGGGTTAACCTTTTTATTCTCTGTGAAATTCACCGTCTTCAACATCGACAACCGGACCACTAGATCCATACGGTTTTGGTCCATTCCAAGCACAATGGAATAAAAAATCCAGATTTGGGATGTTTTCTATGTTATTTAGGGTTTCATCCAAACTTGCGCATTCCATTCCATTTGATGTGGAGTTTACATCAAAAGCTGGGGTTTCTATTTGCGTTTTCTGGTTTAGATTTTCGTTAAGGGTTAACTTATTTGTGATTAGGGTATAGTGTTAAGTGGGTCTGTTGGGTTTAGGGTTAACTTATTGGACATTAGGGTATAGTATCTAAATAAATATATATTCCATTCCATGTACATAGAATGAAATATATTTCTATACCATTCCGGATGGATTGGATTGAAGCTATATATACGTGGTAAGCCTACTTAATAGATAACGGAATGGAACATATGCTTATAAAAACGGAATGGAAGAGATGATCTATGTAGAATGGAACAGAAATAGTTAACATGTTCCTCTATGTGATTCATACGTTTGGTGATTTAACGAACACGTCATGTTCACCTACAATTAACGAACACGTCATTTAGTTTTATACCATGTAACTGGATACCTGCTAGTGGAAAGGGTGATACCGGATGAAAAAGAGGCTAAATGTCAAAGACTACATTACGTCAACATCAATGTTATATACTTAATATACATCCCAAATTTGGCTACTGAGCTAATAAGCCCATAATTTTAGATGTTTCATTAACTTATTATTATTATTAGTTCATACTTTGTAATTAAATATGTAATCATGTTATCCATAATTGTAAGATATGTTGCTTATGTATCATGTTTAAGTATATTTTAGCTGATTCATTTATTTATTAATTTCAATACTATATTATTAATTTAAACTTTATAATTAGATATGAAATTATTTTGCTTAATTTTGTAACTTTGACGAGTTAACACAATTTTAATTAAGACTATGTATGTGATATTTCATAATCTAAGTTATATTATAATAATATGTAAGTGTTAATGTTAAAAAACTATCTATGACGCAGACTCTACGTTATTATATATTTTATTATACCATAATAAATGATTCTATGTTAGTATATATATTGGCATCATAATATCTTTTGATGGTTGATTCCTGCTTATAATAACTTGTGAACAAATGTTTTTTTTTTTTTTTTGAAAAGTAATCCTGCCTTTCTTGTTTTTATTGAGAATATTTATCCAGTTATAAATTACTGCAACATTCAGTGACAAAAAAAAGATTACTACAACATTAGATTTCAGGTGTCACAATTTTGGAATACTTAGAAAAATTCAAAAGTCGTTATAATTGAATTGGTGTTGATTGATAGCATTGTAAGTATATTATTTTTTATTTCGTTATTAATTTACATTGATTATACAATTTAGTGTTAGTAACTTATATTTTTATAATTTATTTTTAAAGGATGAGGTTTCATGCTTTTGTTTGTTGATGAACGTTATCTTGGTCATTGTATTAACTTATTTTAAGAGAATTCTTTTGTTTTAAATAATATCATTATTGATGACTATACAAAAGAGTATAAAATGAATCTTCTACCTTTGAAGATAAATTTCTATACAATAACCAAAATTATTGTTTTCATATACAAGTCATTTGATGTTCCATTTAGATGTATTATAATCTATATTATAATAGTAGAGTTTCTAGACTCCACAGAGTGTCACATCAGCAGTTTTGTGAGTCTTGCGTGTGTTTTTAAAAATTTATAGTCTTGGTAAGATGATTACGAACAACAAAATACACTTTAGCTGAATTGTATAAGGTGTCTAATTAACCTTGCAAATGCGTGGATTCAAACCACACAGCTATCATATATTTTTGATTTTTTTTATTTGAGTTATTATTATATGAGTTTTTTGTTTATAATGTTTTTATGTTTTTTTTTTCTTTTGGGCTTATTGTTTTAAAGATCAAAATAGTTAGATATCAAACCCAAAAATAGTTAAAATGGATCCAAAAACGAACAACCCAAAAAAACAAAAAAATGAGTCTCACGCGGTTGTCTACGCGGATGGCTTAAGGAACCTTAAAAGTGTCGTATTATAATATAGCTCAACCCAAAATAATAAAAATGGATAAAAAAACGAACATACCAAAAAACAAAAAAGATGAGTCCCACGCGACTGCCTACGTGGATGGCTTAAAGAAGCTTGAAGGAGCTCAAAAAATTAAATCATTTCACATATTTGCTAATATATATTTTAAAAAATAATTTATGTGAAATAAAATTAAAAAAACAACAAAATTTAAGTCTTTTCGTTATTTATTAAATGCATATGTAATTTCTCTTACATTTTAATAGCTACTATAATTTCATTGAAAACATTCCTCACCACTTACTGCAGACTCCGGCGAATGGATTCCCACAGTCGATGACTCCGTAGATAAAAATGCCACATCATTTATGAACAAAATCCAAACTTAGAAAAAACCATATATAAAAATCTATCTACTGAAACCTAAACAACGAACATTGACTTAATTAAGGTTATTTTCAAATTGATAAATCATTTAATACAAATATAAATACTATAATATAGAATTATATCAAGTTTTGACCTACGATATAAAAACTATTTACAGCAAAAAAAAAAAGACACCTACTTTTACACACTAAAAACTTACAGCCTAACTATTCCTATAAACCTTATTTCGTATAAAAATAACATTTAACACATTATATATAAAATATTTTCACTTTACACTCTTGCTACATTCTTTCCATTTCATTATTATTTGGTGTCATTACAAGAACCCACTAAACTAACAATCGAAAAAAATACATGCAAACACAACGATCCCGGCTCTACGCTTGCGCGGAGATTATGCAACTAGTAATCTTAATAAGTAACTATAACATTAACTAGTAATCTTAATAAGTAACTATAACATTATTATGCATGCATGTGTGGAAAAAACACCTAGCTATTAATAATACACATAACTATTTAAATTTTTATTTATTTTTATGTTAATTTTATTTCATTCATGTACATTTAAAATTTTGAAAATAGTAATAATACATAATGTAAACAGACTAACTATTTTGGATAGGAAAAAATGGATATGTTTGAATATTTATGAAATGGTAAAATGATTTATATTTTATATCATATTATTGTATTAATTTATATATACAATCAATTGTGGATAAAATTAATTAATTGTTTACTTTAAGAAATCATTTATTAAAAAATATTGTCATTTGAATCAATCATTTGTGTTGACCATAAATAAAATTAACTGATTATATTTTAAGGAAGATTTTGTTATAAATAAGTATTGATAAAAAAATATAATTAATTAGTTTTGGTGACATTAGGTGTAATTAATTAAAAAGGTTAATTCTAATCGGTATTTCAACGTTAATAATATAGATGTGATAATGATAATGAATAGTTCTAGGAGATATCATTTTAAAATTTACAAGATTGATTATTATCCAATTAACATAATCGATCAGCAAATAGGATCAAGTAGACAAGATTAATGCACTGAAACCACTTAAGTTACCACTTACATATAATGACTAAAGTTGTTAAGTTATTGCTTATTTTTTACGCGCACACATCAACAAGACAATGAGATAACGATAATCAAATTTATTTTAAACTGTAGTCTTATCCTATGATTTTATTATGTTTTACTCCCAAACAATTGCTTTGTCACTAAGCAGTAAGCACCTATCATAATCTGGGTTTGGCCATATTTCGATTTAAATATGGTCAAGTGAAACAAAAACAATTACATCATCTCAATATCACAACTTGCAATTGTAAAAGAATAAAATTTATATAATTATCATATATATAATATAGAATAGAGGTAATGGAAACCAACTCTTATTTGTTAGAACTTAGAACACCATTATCCCTAAAAACATATAATAATGGGGTATTTATTATTATTATTTTTAATTTTATCTAACTTAAAAAAATTAAAAATTATAAATGAATCAATCGTGGATCATCACATGTCTGGGATCCGCGAAAAGTTCAAGCACTCTCCAAAATTGACGCTTATACAGGACACATAAACACTGGTTTTTGGGGTTTAGTGGGCCC